CAAAGGTCTGGTCTAAGGATGAAGCATTCAGGAAGAGAGGGGCTTTTGATTCAGTACCCAGAGCCACAAAATGTTAAGAGTTGGGCAGGATTTCAGAGATCACATAGACCAAACCTCTCATCTTATGGATAAGAAAATAGACACAGAGAGGAGTGACTTGTTCATTAGGCCATTCAAGTGTTTGGGTTTGCCCTCTGGCTCTCTTCATGTGACCCAGGAGAAAGCCCTTAGAAAATTCTGAGGAGAGAAAAGAAATAAGCCAGATTAAATGACTATGCAAGGGGGCTATTCCCCACATGCATAGACACACACACACACAGAAACTGCTCATAGATCAGAGAGATCAATCTCTCTGATCTGGTCAGGGTGAGAAGTCTTTTCTGCCCTCCGTTTATATATCCCCAAGGCCTTTACCTGACACCAGTTCTAAACAGTAATTCACCACAGGCTCCACTCAAACCATATTCTGTCCTTCTTTCCTTAGAACCCTTCTCTAAAGCCCAAACCCATATGTTCAAATCCATTATTAATGTGCCTCTGTCCTGGAAGGTCCATTTACGATCATAGAATTTTTTTTTTCGGTACGCGGGCCTCTCACTGTTGTGGCCTCTCCCGTTGTGGAGCACAGGCTCCAGACGCGCAGGCTCAACGGCCATGGCCCACGGGCCCAGCCGCTCCGTGGCATGTGGGATCTTCCTCACCAGGGCACGAACCCGCATCCCCTGCATTGGCAGACGGACCCTCAACAACTGCACCACCAGGGAAGCCCACGATCATAGAATTTTAGAGCTGGAAAGGACTTGAAGAATCCTCTTGTAAAAACTTCTCATTTTATAGATGAGGAAATGGAGGCCCAAAGAAATAGAATACCTTGGCCCACGCAATCAGAGGAGGTGAGGGCAGTGCTGGGATTTTCCAAGGTGAGTCAAAAAGTTAGAACCAGTGAAATGATCTATTGTATCACTTTGCCAATATTTTCTCTTTGCTTATCAAAGGTACATCTAGTCTGAAAAGCAGAGAGGAGAATCAGAGGAAGAATACGGCCTGGGTTCCCAACAGCTTTCTTGCTTCTGGCTCCAGCCCATTCTGCAATCCACTTGAATTTCCACCCTTGATTCTATAACAACCCTCTTATAATAAATTCTCCTTTTTGCTAATAGGGTAGCAAAAAATGAGATGGCTGGGCTCAAATCCTGGCTCTAGCATATACTAGCAGTGTGTCCTGGGCAGTTTCTAAACCTGTAGCACAGTGTTCTTTTCTGTAAAAAGGAGAAACACTAGTATAGAGTTGTCATGAGTATTAAATTTGATAAGGCATTTAAAGTATTTAGCACAGTGCCTGGCATTCATTAAAAAAGAGTAAGCACCCATTATGTGCCAGACACTGGTACAGAATAAACATTCACTAAATGTGACTACTATTATTATTAAACTAGCTCAATATGAATTCTTTTATTTGAAACTAAAGAGTCCTAATTAATACAGAAATTGTCACCAAGAAGTAGTGTCTTGAGTGAAAGACCTTTAGAACAAGTATGGAGCTAGCTGAGTCAAGCAGAGAGGGGAACAATGAGGACTCCTTCAACCCAGGAGGGGAAATTCTTGGCACTCCACATGATGATGGAGCAATCAGGTTAAGCAATCTTGTGGCTGCCAAGGATTCAGGCTATCTGCCAACTGAGGATGAAGTGCTTAGGGTTTATAGCAAAGATATCAGCCTTATTCAATACAAGCAAGTTACTGCTTATACTATGGTAAGTTTCAACAAAAGCAAGACAAGTTCCAATCCTCAGATGAGCAAATGGAAACAGAGAAAACCAGAACCAACAAACTGAAATTACGGGGGTCCAGAGCACGATATTAATCAGGTGTGTTGCTAAAGTGAAATGGATTAGATTGGTGGGGTGATTGGAATGCTCTGTGATCTGGCAATTGGAATGGAGATACTTGCAAGGAGCCAAAGGAGTTGAGAAATCTGAAGCATCCTCAATCTCCCAAATCAACCACAGGGCACTTTCTGTCTGATTAGAACAGAGGCCTCCCTTTGTAAAGTGCAACTGTTTTTCTCCCTTTTTGGTTTGCCTTTTGTAACTTAAATATAGATATATATTGCTCATTAAGGATCCAAGCAGTCCCCAGATCTCTTGCAGTTAGGTGGGGGTCAGGTGATTAGTTCCGGCTAATGGATAGTGAATGACCAAAGAATTTAAGAGCTAGTGAATGATGCTCCAGCAATCTCTTCCCTGTTGAGGTAACCTAGAAACCACACATTGAGATGGCAGCGTCATAAGGCCAACTAGCCTAAAGCTCCAGATTATCACACAGCATTTAGAGTAAATTCTCATTTTTGAGTTCTGTTGTAGATTCCTCCGCTCACTAAAATTTATTTGTGACCCCAAAATCAATACCTATGGCATTTTCACAATCATTTACAGACATCTGCAGAGTGGTAAAAAATTTGAGTCGCCTGATGTGTACATTCCCAGCTGAGTTCAAACAAGGCAATACTCCTCTACAGCCATACCACCCTGAATGTGCCCGATCTCATCTCGGAAGCTAAGCATGGTCGGGCCTGGTTAGTACTTGGGTGGGAAACAAGGCAATACTCCACCTTCTTCTCATACTGTAAATCAGTGTCCTTTTCATGATCTATTTAGTGCCACAATTTTAGCATTTTAGTGCTTTTTGTTGGTGATTTCACTGTTTAAAATGGTCCCCCAGCTTAGTGCTGAAGTGCTTTCTAGTGTTCCTAAGCACAGGAAGGCTGTGATGCACCTTACAGAGAAAACGTGTGTTTGATAAACTTTATTCAAGCATGAGTTATAGTGTTGTTGACAGAGGTCAATGCTAATGAATCAACAATATATATTAAATAAGGTGTCCTTAAACAGAAACACCTTACATAAAACACCATACATAAAAAAAAGTTATGTATCCATCCATTGATATTTGACACTGTGAGTGATAATTGAAGATCAAAGGGGGAAACCATGTTCCAAAATAAAAGCTTAATAAAAACCATATGTGAAAAAATTCAGTTGTATCACAATTTCTAAATCCTAACTTCACTTCCAAAATGCTCCTGAGGAACCTTCATACTTACCTGGCATAGAGCCTGAATCTCTTCCTTGACTTGAGAATACTGGTAAAAGTTATAGCAGGGTTATTAGGTTAGGGCAAGGATAAAAAAGGAAGCTGGAGGAGTAATGGATTCATTGCCAGTGGGGCTTGATCCTCAGACCTTAAAATGTTTTTATTTAGTCAGAAAAAAGTTTGGTTTTGTTTTTGAGCAGATGTTATCACACGGCTCTGGGCTGCTAGAAAGATAATTTGGGGGAGAAAACAGAGAGAGGTAAAATCACTGTCTTCATGGAAGTTATTTATTACTTGGGGATCTTATGGGGAGCTAGTTAGAACTGGCAGGGATCTCTGTCTTGTTCATTCATAACAGTTCATTCATAACAGTGTCTGGAACATAGGAAAAATTCAAATTTGTTGAATAAATTCCATTCCAATAGAATTGAAACCAGATCATTTTCGTTAAGGAAGGAGTTAAAGAATGAGGCAGCATGCACAGGCCATTCATTTGAGAAGGTTAACTATAGAAAGCAGGAAGGGATCAGTCATCACATAGCTATAAAGCAGTGCTTTTTGAAACTTTAATGTGCATATGTAACACCTGATTCAACAGGCCCTGAGGATGGGACCTGAGATTCTGCACTTCTCACAAGTCAGGTGAAGCCAATTCTGCTGGTCCTCAGACCACACTTCGAGCAAAGCCACTCAATGATATTGCTCGATGAGCATTTACTTTGTGGATAGCACATGTAAGATTTATTAAATACTTCCTTATTCTGTTTTATTACATTTATTGTATTGATTGCTGGGTTCAATGGATGCTCCAATCCAGATCTTACTGGACCATTCCTTTCTTGAAATTCTAGGGACATTACTCTAGAATGATTATACTCCTGTCTCTTCAGTTCTTCCCTCTCAGGCTTTTGTCTGGCTCCTCCTCCTCCTATCCCTTATGTGTTCCTGTTTCCCAGGTTTCTCTCTCCAGTCCTCATTTCTTCTATTTGTACTTAATGGAAATTCTTTGTTATCTCTATTTGATTCCTTTGGGGTTTCTAGGTATACAACTGTGTCTAAAAATAGTATTTGTAGTTCTTCTTTCCAAGTATTTATTTCTTATTATAAGATTTTAATACAATATTATATATTGACATTTATTTATGTTAAGCACTCAATAAGTGATAGAATTTTTAATAATAAACATGTCTAAAGACTTGAGTCATCCAACAATGGAACATGATCCCCTCTAGATAATAAGTCACCAGTAACTAGAAACATTAAAACATTGGATAATCCCCTTTCAGTGATGTTCTATATAAAAGGTGTTCCTACTCTGACAGGAGATAGATTGACTCTAAAAATTCTGTGAGACATACCGATTTGCCCCCCACCCCGCTACAGAACAGAATCAATGCCCTCAGAAAAGGCAAGGAAATGGAATAAAGGGACGCTCTTTTGGCACAGAAACAGGTGAAAATGATGTTTGATTGAAGTTAATGGTGCCCAGGAGAAGCAATCCTCTTAGAGTAGCAAGGGAAACAACAGTTCTCAATTAGTTACACTCACAGCTCCTGGGGTCTCCTTACCCTCAACCCCCAGGGTCCTGTACCCACCAGTGAGGGAGAAGGTGAAATTAGGACTCTAGCAGGAAGTAGATGCTATAGAAAAGGTGGGGGCTATAGTGACAAAGCCAAAGAGTGAGACTCAGGAGCTGTGGAAAGGGTAGAAAGCCAAGGACCATGGGCCTCACTGGCATCTGAACTTTCACCTGATCTTATATCTTTCAGTATCCCCTATGTCTCAGAGACAGACCACTGTACAATTATCAGCAGGATTTATTAGACATTTATACTTTGAATTCTCCATTTCCAACACTTCCCTTTATTAATTTTTGCCAAAGATAGCGAAGCCATCCGCTGTCAGCTTTACTTGTCTTCAAAATTCATCAGTGCCTGCACTGTAAAGAAACAGACTGTGAAGCTGGAGAGGTAAGAATATTCAGAACATACAAATGTTTGGTGAAGACCCTGTTTTTCTGGGTTCTAGGTTTCCACTCAAAGTTTTACTAATCTTGGGGCGTGCAGGGCTTCCCTGGTGGCGCAGTGGTTGAGAGTCCGCCTGCCGATGCAGGGGATATGGGTTCGTGCTCCGGTCCAGGAAGATCCCACATGCCGCGGAGCAGCTAGGCCCATGAGCCATGGACGCTGAGCCTGCGCGTCTGGAGCCTGTTGCTCCGCAACGGGAGAGGTCACAACAGTGAGAGGCCCGCGTACCGCATAAAAAAAAAAAAAAAAAAGTTTTACTAATCTTTACCCTAAATTAAGCCATATGAGTCTGTCCTCTTTGCCACAGATGAATTAATCAGGATTAAAGAAGCCATCTTGCTACCTTCGCCACCCTTTCACCCTGTTCTCCCCAGAACAAATGGGGAGGCAGGGCTGAGGACAGTTGGAAAGAGCAGGATAACAATGCAATATTCGAAGTAGGCAAAGCCTGTCTGACATCCTGCTCTAAATTCCATGTTCCAATGTTATAAATTCCTCTTATTGCTCTCCTGTGCCCACCACACACACATTCCTCTTCCCCCCATTGATATTTTCACTTGGGGTTGACTTCAGCTAGGTATTAGGAGAATAACACTAATCCACATTAAATTGTTAAAAAAAAATTGCCCCTAATTTTTGTAATTTTAGAGGGAAAATTCATTGATCCAAATTAATCTCTAGGTGGTGAAATCTCAAAGGAGAAATTTAGGGAAAATAATTTTGAGCAAGTAGTTCTCAGCTTAAATCAAACTTTACTATTTTTTTTTAGAGAATTTTAAAAAATTTATTTTATTTTTGGCTGTGTTGTCTTCATTGCTGCACGAGGGCTTTCTCTAGTTGTGGCAAGCAGGGGCTACTCTTTGTTGTGGTGTGCGGGCTTCTCATTGTGGTGGTGTCTCTTGTTGCAGAGCACGGGCTCTAGGTGCACAGGCTTCAGTAGTTGTGGCACACGGTATCAGTAGTTGTGGCTCGTGGGCTCTAGAGCACAGGCTCAGTAGTTGTGGCGCACGGGCTTAGTTCCTCTGCAGCATGTGGGATTTTCTCGGAACAGGGCTCGAACCCATGTCCCCTGCATTGGCAGGCAGATTCTTAACCTCTGCACCACCAGGAAGTCCCAACTTTACTATTTTTTTTAAACATTTATTTATTTATTTGGCTGTGTCGGGTCTTAGTTGCGGCACACAGGATCTTCATTGCGGCACGCGGGCTTCTCTAGCTGTGGCACGCATGCTCAGTAGTTGCGGCACATGGGCTTAGTTGCCCCATGGCATGTGGAATTTTAGCTCCCCGACCAGGGATCAAATCTGCGTCCCCTGCATTTGAAGGCGGTTTCTTAACCACTGGACCACCAGGGAAGTCCTAAACTTTACTATTTTAATCACATATTTTCTCTGCATAGGCTTGACTCTAGAAGGGACTGAAAGAAAGAGGAATCTGTAATTCATAAACCTCTTGAGGACAGTGGGCACTTGTGGGCTTTCTGCTGCCTAATCCCCATAGCTATTGAACTTGAGCCTGAGGCCCTTACTGTTGAGGTCTGAAAGGTGACCTTCAAAGAGAAGAAACACGTACAAAAGTGGGCAGGCTGGGGCTTCCCTGGTGGCGCAGTGGTTGAGAGTCCGCCTGCCGATGCAGGGGACACGGGTTCGTGCCCCGGTCCGGGAGGATCCCACATGCCACAGAGCGGCTGGGCCCGTGAGCCATGGCCGCTGAGCCTGGCGCGTCCGGAGTCTGTGCTCCGCAACGGGAGAGGCCACAACAGTGAGAGGCCTGCGTATCGCAAAACAAACAAACAACAACAAAAAAAAAAAAAGGGGGGGGGGGCAGGCTGCCCAAATAGAGTGAGAGCCCACCTTATCCTAATTTCCAGCAGCTGGAACTGGATACTCTTCTCTTGTGAAATAAGCTCTCAGACCTAACAGGATTTAGGTGTCCCCTACCAGAGAAGAAGGGTTGCCAGGTCCTCACTAGGTTAGAAGAAATCTGGACATATGCCCAGAATGTGACATACTAAACCGTGAATTTGCCTTTTTTAGGTGTGAGTGGAAATTCAGAGGCTGAGGTGCCAAAATAGCAAACACTCTTCTTCTCCCCAGTTATATATGCTACTCCAATGGACTTAACTCCTGGTCTCCATGGCTGCCCTAAATCCATACCTGCAAACTCTTGCAACCGCTTACGCTCCTCTAGGTTATACTGCAGCTTTTCTAGCAACTCAAAATATCGTAAGAGTGAGTCCCTAGGCCAAACAACACGTTCATCCTGATCCATATCCATTAGCCCAGGCAGATTCTGGTGCACATGAGTCTCCCAGTCCAACTGACCTGGAGGGAGAAATGCTTCTCAAAAACATATCTAGATTCATGGAAGTTGGATAAAAGCTGATAAACTCTATGGGGGCAGGCGAGGAGAAAGCAGGGATGAAAGAGGATATAGGGAGGAGAGAGAGAAAAGTATGTATCACCAAGACACCACTTCTACAATAAACAGAGAGCCACAACCATACTTTTCCAAAGTGCAGCAGAAGCACAGGGGAAATGAAGAAGCGTGAAGAAAGGCCAGAAAATCGGACTGGTGGAGAAAATCGGGAAATGTGCATAGTGGGAGAGCTCCTGTTAGGAATGGGATGTCTCATGGAGAAGAGGAGTCTGAGTTCAACTGGGAGAACCCCTCGGCTTACCAATAGGGTCATAATATCTGGAGCCAGAAGAGGAGGAACAGTAGGAAGATGAAGATGAGGAGGAAGAGGAAGATGCAGAGTTCTTCACTTTTGACAGGGACTTCTTTGTTTTTGACTTAGATGCTCTTGAACTCTCTTTAGTGGCACTGTGTTTGGACTCTTCTTTAGAAGCTTCTGTTAAGTCCAAAGATTCCCCTTGTTGATTGGCATCTCTGCAAGTGAAAGGCAAAATTTTATTGCTTCAAATACATTTACACAATATGGCTGGTTCTTTCGTCATTCTGATTCTGGCCCTGGCCTAAAGCTAGGAGTTAAGGCAATGAAGGCCAAACTGCTCCCAAAATCTAAGTTTAAGCACATCCAACCTAAATTATCCCGTGTCATGTACCCCTATTAGTGCCCCTCACCACATAACGTCTGTGCTCAATCTTACTCGGGCTTCCACGTTCCACACCCCACCTTATTTTGCAAAGTTTTAGCCCACCACCCCTTGGCCCTATGCCTATTACACCACAACTATAGCCTCTGCCCCCTCGATTCCATCTCTTAATATTAGAGGGAACTTGGGCTCAGCTCTTTATATCTTCTCCACCTACAGTTGCTCCTTTGGTGATCTCATCTGCTGAGTTCAAATGCCTACCAGATGCAAATTTAAGCCTCTTGTCCAGACCTCACTCCTTAATCCAGACTTATATATACAACTTTTACTCACTTAGCACCACTTGAATATCTAAGGACATCTCAAATTCAATCAAAACTGAACTCTTTGCCCACCAAACCTCTTCCACCCACAGCCCTCCCCATCTCAGCTAATCAACCCTTCCAGTTGCTTGGGTCAGAACTTTCATCCTTAATTCTTCTCTCATACCCCACATCCAATCCATCAAGAAAGCCTGTTGAGGGCTTCCCTGGTGGCACAGTGGTTAAGAATCTGCCTGCCAATGCAAGGGACACGGGTTCGAGCCCTGGCCCGGGAAGATCCCACGTGCCGCGGAGCAACTAAGGCCATGCGCCACAACTACTGAGCCTGAGCTCTAGAGCCTGCAAGCCACAACTACTGAGCCCACGTGCCACAACTACTGAAGCCTGTGCGCCTAGAGCCTGTGCTCTGCAACAAGAGAAGCCATGACAATGAGAAGCCCGCACACCACAACGAAGAGTAGCCCCGGATCACCCCAACTAGAGAAAGCCCGTGCACAGCAATGGAGACCCAACACAGCCAAAAATAAAAAATAAAATAAAATAAATAAATAATTTTTTAAAAAAAAGAAAGCCTGTTGACTCTACCTTCAAAATATATCTTTTCTCACTAGTACCACTGGTACCACTCTGGTCTGAGCCATCAATGCCTCTTGCCTGTATAGCAGCATAGCCTCCTAACTCATCTCTCTGCTTCTTATTTTATCTTCCCTCAGTTTATCATCAACACAGCAACCAGACTAATCCTTCTTAAAGGTAAGTCACTGCATGTCACTGCTCCGCTATGTTCCCCATTTCACCCGAAATCAAAGCCTAAGTCCTCACAGTGGTCCCCACAGCCCTACAGGATCAGGTCCCCATTACCTCTCTGACCTCATCTCCTATCATTCTCCCCCCCTACTTACTCTGCTTCAGTCACAGTAGCTTCCTTGCTATTTCTCAAACACACCAGGCATGCTTCTGTTTTAGGACCCTTGTACTAGCTGTTCCCTCTGCCTATAATACTCTTCCCATAGATATCCACATAGTAATCCCCTGACCTCCTCCAAGTCTTTGCTCAAATGTTACCTTTTCAGAGGCCACCCTGACTACCTTGTTTAAAATTACAACCCAGGGCTTCCCTGGTGGCGCAGTGGCTGAGAATCTGCCTGCTAATGCAGGGGTGACGGGTTTGAGCCCTGGTCTGGGAAGATCCCACATGCTGCGGAGCAACTAGGCCCATGAGCCACAACTACTGAGCCTGCGCGTCTGGAGCCTGTGCTCCGCAACAGGAGAGGCCACGATAGTGAGTGGCCCCCGCTTGCCACAACTAGATAAAGCCCTCGCACAGAAATGAAGACCCAATGCAGCCAAAAATAAATAAATAAAAAGCCAAGCATTTGAAGCCCTTTAAAAAAAAAAAAAAACCCATATGCAACCCCCCCTCTTATACTCCAATCCCCCTTAACCTGTTCTACTTTTTACTTTTTTATAATGCTTATCCTATTTTTAAATTTGTTTTTTATTGAAGTATAGTTGAGTTACAATGTTGTGTTAATTTCTGCTTATAGCAAAGTGACTCAGTTATACACACATATATACATTCTTTTTATATTCAAGGCTTATATTTTAATGTGCTAATTTTCTTATTAATATGATTATTGTTTACTGTCTCTTTCCTCCTACTAGTATATAATCTCCATGAGAACAAGCATTATTATTTATTTTGTTCACTGATATACTCTGACCAACAAATAAGCATTCAATAATTATTTGTTGATGGATTTCTTATTTCTCCGTCTGCTCTCTTGTCCACTGCTGAACACTCAGGGTCTTGAATAACATGTTTCATGGAAGGTACTTTTATTAGTTTCCTGTGGCTGCTGTAGGAAATTACCACAAACTTGGTAGCTTAAAACAACAGAAATTTATTCTCTCACAATTTTGGAAGCCAGAAGTCTGAAACCAATGTGTCAACAGGGCCATGCTCCCTTTGGAATCTCAAAGGGAGAAGGTTCCTTGCTTCTTCTTGCTTCTGGCAGTTGCCTTGCATCCACTGGCTTCCTTTGGCTTGTAGTTGCATCACTCCGATCTCTATCTCTATCTCTATCTTGACATCTTCTCCTATTCTCTATGTCTATGTCTTCTCTCCTGTCTCTTAAAACCAGTGACCCCTGTCACTGGATTTATGGCCCACCTGGATAATCCAGAATGATCACATCTCAAGATCCTTAATTTAACTGCATCTGCAAAGACCCTTTTTCCAAATAAGGTCATGTTCACAGGTTCCGGGAATTAGAACATGGACATATCTTTTTGGAGGCCACCATTCAACCCACTACAATAAATAGTTATTGAATGAATGAATTCTCTCTCAAAGCCAATCTTCACCTTTGGTTTCCTACCCTTTCCTCCTTTCATGTGTGTCCATCCCACTTCACATATACACTCCTAACCTGGCATCCATTTTGCTAATGCTTGACCTCTGTGCCTCAGGGATTAGGTTTTGTCTCCTGCAAAACAAAAAACACAAAAGAGTGAAGAGAGTTACACTGAAGCAGGAGTGTAGTAAGGAAAAAAGAATTCTGATCATCAAGTAAGGAGAATAAGTTGTAGTAAAGGAGTGAAAAAGAGCGGGGAAGCCCTGACAGTGGTTAAAGAATCAGGCAATATTTTAGAGCTGGGGAATTCTAACTCTGAGGCAAATCTGTCATAAAGGGGAAAATGGCACTGCGGCCAAGGAGCGGAAACAGAGAATGAGATCAGGGCACCCTCAAGAACTAAAGCTGGGTTTGAAAATGGGGAAGCAGACCTCTGGATAATCTGCCGCTTGAATATGTCGGCTTTGTGCTGCACCTCCAGGTGTGTCATCTCCTCGTTCAGCTCATTTCTGATATTCTGAAAGTTAGTAACTGCCCCAAAGGGCCATTAGGAGTTGGGAGATGGTGGTGACTAGACATGGTGAGAGGGCTTGGGTAGGGAGAAACCAAGTGAAATATCCATTCCAGGCCCCACACCTTCCTGTTACATCAGGTTCTCTCTCTCCATAATTCACCAATCCTAGCTTTCGCTCTAATTTCTTCCCAAACAACCCTCTCACCAAGTTTCACCTCTTCTATGCTTACCCATCATGGCTACTATGATGTTTCGAAAGATAATGGAACCAAGTAACAACCAGAGGATGACATAGATGCTGCTGAAGGTACGGCTGACTTCAGGCACCTTCCAGGTATCCTGAAGCAGTGCATACCAATGATCCATAGTAAAGAGAATGAACACTGTCACTACAGAATTCAGCAGGTCCCTAAAGAAAAAGGAGGTGTGTGTATAGACAGAGAGAGCTAATTCTCTAAGAAACACTATCATTCTTACTCTCAAAGCAACATAAGAGCATTTCTTTGTCGTATGCTCTGACTTTAGCCCCTTTTCTACCATATACTCAATTTTTTACCTAATCTTTCTTCAGTTTGAGATTGTTTTATTAGGTTTTCCTTTATCATGAATAACCTATGAATAGCTCTCACCATTTCATCAGTACGTGGGGCACAGTAGGTGTTTAATACATAGGTATTAACTGAATGTTTAAAAATGGAATCACCAACTACACATCATTTTTTTCTAAGTTCATTCTCCACTGTTCTATGGACTCCGCCTAACGGAAAGTCACAAGTTTAGCAAACATCGTGCCTACTTAGTTTGCTGGCATGAACTGACAGTCAAGTAAATGGGTGGATATGTGACATAAACATGTGACTCCAAATAATGAATGATAATGAATATATCACAAAAGGTCTCAGGAAGATATCTAAATTTTCCTTCTTATCCCTCAATATACAGATAACTGAAAACATCAGAGCCTGAACAGAATGAATTCTAGGACTTCCCCAAGTCAATACTCTTACAAAACTACCTGTTAGTCTAAGATAGAGACCTGAGAGGTGCTGACAAGATTGGATTCCAATTCACAAATAACACTGTCTCCTCTAAATCCAAATTGACTTTCTACTAGTAATCAGTGTCCTCTAGACAAAAAGCTTATCAGGATTTTACTTTTGAAAGAATTTAAGTATGTGCATGTGTAATCTCTACATTTAAGAGACTGGGGTAAAACCAGTGACCATGTTTGAGGTCATAGTAACATTTACTGATCACTTACAATGTGTGAAATGCTGTGCTAAATGCTTAAATGAATTACCTCATTTATCCCTACACTCTTATGAAGTAGTACTACTTTTAATCCCATTTTTCAAAAGAGGTACCTGAGACAGAAACCAGGGCTTAACCCCTGGAGTATACTGCTATTTAAAGGTGAGGCTAAGTTTGAATTTGCAAAACCCAAAGCAAACCAGGAATACCTGACCTATCCTCAAAATTGGAGCTAATACCACTCACTATTCCTTTGCTTTCTCTTTACCTCTCCTTACTGTGTTCTATTCCCGTTTCTTACAATATATTATACTTTTTGTATTACTGTACTTTGGACTAGCTTCCCAGTCTCATGCCCAAACCCTCTCCCTCAACCCAGGCTTCCCCCCAGTCCTGCCTACGAGAAGAACATGTGATACTCCAGGTCCTGGCGAGTTGAACGGGTGTAATTCTCGAAGAAGTAGACACCAGCCACGGCAAAAATGTAGAAGAAGATGAGCAGCAACATCAAGAGGAAGGTCATGCTCTAGAGGCCATGACCTTGAGTCAGAGCTGGGCCAGACTAGGCTGATCTCCACCTACAGCCTAGTCAGACCCACCCTGGAAATCCCCCACCAAACCCTCACTTCTAGCCTGAGCCCAGTCATCTCTAGAACACAGCAGCCTGTCCCTAGCCCTTTCTCACCGACAACATCTCACAGGGTCTTTCATTGCCTTCTTTCATCCACCCAGACTGTTTCATGTTAAACCCCCATGTTTATCCACCTTGCCCACTTGATACAGCTGCAGCAGTCAAATCACCTTGAGGGCCCTGACCAGGGCCAAAATAATGACTCGAACTTGACGGAATCGTGCAAAGAGTTTAAGAGACCTTAGCACCCGGCAGATCCTCAGCAACTGGAGCCATACGGAATGGCTTGTTACCCCTACCAGCACCACAACCTCAGGAATCAGGGACTGTAGGAAACAGACAGATCATGAGTAAAATATACCCCAAAGCACCCACGCACAGTTGCCCCTTCTTTATCTCTTCATTGTCATAGTTCCTTGGTCATTATCCTTTGAAAAGCATTCTCTGGGGACTGTTTCCTATTCAGCCTTTCTATAAGAAATTACTTAAACCCTGCACTTCAACTTGCTCAGACATTAAAAGGGGATAAATACAGTGCTTAACTCATTGGGTTGTTGTGGAGCTCAAATTTTAAGAAATGCATGAAAAAAAGGATAGTTTCTGACATTTAGTAAGTGGTTAGTAACTGGCAGATGTTATTGCTGGGGTTAATGTTGTGATCAGATTCTTCCTTGCTCCTAATACCAACAACTCCTACCATGCCTGACTTTTAGAGAAGAAAAAAATCAAAATAAGGAGGTTAGGTACATTTCTATTTGTTTCTTCCTGTGCTCTAAGTATCTTAACTTTTCTTGTCTTTGATTCACATAGGCACATTTCTCAGCCCAGTAAACTAATTTTCAGGATATCTATCCTTACCAATATGGTGACAACAAAGTCAAAGACATTCCAGGCATTCTTCCAGAAGAGGAAAAAGCTGGATAGCCACATAAGAAGGATCTCCAAGATGAAAACAAGCAAGATGAACCAAGCTGCCACCTCCAAAGTCAGCTTCAGTGGCCACAGTTGGGTATTTGAGGATTCGAGCAATTCTGTGAGAATAGAGCCAAGGATGAGTAAAGGGTAAAGAAGCAGGAAGCTGAATGATAGAGAATGATCAGCAACTGTTAAAAACCACAGTTGTGCCCACTGCTATGCCATTTTTCTTTTGAGTTTCTCTTCTTAATGCAGTTGTTGCTTCAGCCTGTGAAATTCAGGGGAGGATAGAATTGAACATGAAAAATCGCTACAACTCATCTCCTGCTGGTACTGGTACGTGCAACAGCTGCAAGTTACTGCCTTCCCACTCTGGGGTCAGAGAGCCACCAAGGGATTGCTCTCTTAATGACCACCAACCCTGTCTGTTCTGTTACCCTGGTACCAAACTTCATGAAGAAGCAATAGGCCTTGAGAAAAGAACGCAAATGTAGGGCCATGATATGGAAAGTGTTTTATAACATATCTAGGAACGAGAAGCCAGATTCATGGGGCATATTAGGTTATAATAAGAAATTACTTGGTTCTTTGTTACTTTTAAAGCTTCCCCTTTCTACTCTGCCTAAAATTGATTTTATTCTGCAAAGCAAATTGAATCCTATACTTTCTCTCTAGAACCTAATTATTTGCTGACTTCAATTCCTTAACTCATTTGCCTTCATCTTTCAACCCTCTTCACCTCTTCTATACATTTAATAGATGTATATCATGCTATTAAAAAAAGCACTGAGATCAAAATAGGTTTAAAAGCTAAATAAAATTTTCTCTTTGAAACAGAACAATCTGAGAGCCTCCAAATGCACTATGACTGATATGCCTGGCAGTTAATAGAAACAAGAGAATACTCAATCACCCTGAACAACACAAATGGCCGTGTAGATTTTGACACTTACAGTTTTAAATTGTTATTGCTTTTAGCAATGTTTTGGCTAATTACATTAACGAAGTAAGGAACACTGATGTTGAAATACAACTTAATGAAGAGCAAAAGAGTAATTCTGCAAGTTTATCTCAAGACAATCTTCATCAGATTCTATAAATTCCATTCATCTGATAGAAAATTTTATATGGCACATCAAGCTATCTCTAGAACCTCAAAAATCAGTGTTTAAATTATAATAATGTTGTACTCAGTTTTGTTGGAAATAAGGACTATTCACACTCACAATGTGTTATTTTCAGAGAAGGGCTTGCAAATGAGCCAAATCTTTTTCTTTTCTCACCATTTAGAAACAAAATATGAAAATTATAAAAATAAATCCATTGATGTTTAAAGTGCAAAGTAGAATTACCAATATCATTGTGGAAGATTTTTTTTCTATTTTTTTATGCCCAAACACATAATTAAATTTCCACCTACACTTTAACATATAACATGTATTTAACATACAATACACAATGTTGTAAACCTAAAACTAATATACGTTATATCTAAACTTTTTAAAAGAAACAGAAAATTTAGAAATATAATACATAGGGAATTCCCTGGCAGTCCAGGGTCCAGTGGTTCGGACTCGGTGCTTTCACTGCCATGGGCACAGGTTCAATCCCTGGTCAGGCAACTAAGATCCTGCAAGCCACCTGACACAGACAAAAACACCCCCAAAAACCATAAATTAAATATATTTGATCCCCAAACCGAACTTAATATATAATGTCACTTAAAAATTCATTTGTAGACAAATCATATATTTTCTTTAAAAAAAGCATGATCACTTATAAAATGGTAAAAGTAAAAATTTGCTTACATTTTATGATTATTAAAATTATATAATAAACACTAAAATATATTTAGCAACGTTAGTCTAAATTATCATTTTTACTTCAACTTGCTTCTCCATATCACAGAAAAAATGTGATAAAATAAAATGATTAAAATTACTATGGAGGTTTTCAAGGTTATATATGTTTTTCTGGGAAACAAAATCATAAGACGAAAAAGATTGGGGAGCTTTGATCTAGAGAACTGTTTGTTCCTTACCTATAACAACATTCTTTATGATCTGGAAAATTGCTTTTTAAAAGTCTAAACAAAATCTTAATATTTATCACACGAATTAGTCTATTCAAAGACATCTGTTAGTCACAAATTATTTCCCTTTGCAAAATCCCTCTTGCCTTTCTACCATGAGAATGTACTTAATAAGATACAATTTTCATGAGCTTGCCAGGTGATTCCCATTCAGGCAATCCACCTAACCTCTGGCACAGTGATCATGTTTCATATTCAGCGGTTTTACCAAAAATGGTTAGTGCTATTCTATTTTGATTTGTCTGTTAGATCCAGGGAATCCCATATATTTACTGCTATTTACTTTATTCCAAGGCTGAAATCTATATCTCTAATCCCACAGGGCAAATACTTGCCAATTATCATTATCAACAAGAAACAGGAAATGTGGGTGACTAAATTTAAAACCCTCATCACTGTGCGGAGGAAATAAAACAGTTCAAAGCATATAGTATATCGCAGTTGGTCAATGACATCAAATACTGTTGTGTATTTAAATGCCCTTGACCTGATTCCATTAAAAGACTATTTTTTTAAATTTACTTTTTATTTTTATTATTTATTTTTTGGCTGTGTTGGATCTTCGTTGCTGCGAGGGCTTTCTCTAGTTGCGGTGAGTGGGGGCTACTCTTTGTTGCAGTGCAGGGGCTTCTCTTAGGGCTCTAGAGCACAGGCTCAGTCGTTGTGGTGCACAGGCTTAGTTGCTCCGTGGCATGTGGGATCTTCCCGGACCAGGGTTTGAACCCATGTCTCCTGCACTGGCAGGCAGATTTTTAACCACTGCGCCACCAGGCGAGTCCAAAAGACTATTTTTAAAGTGGGAAACTTCCCCCAAATAGTGAGGATGAAACAAGGAAGTGAGTACTTCTATTGTCCTTTCTGAGCAGTTTGAGATGATAATCAAATGAGGTTATTGATTCTCCAAACATTCTTTTGCTTTTAATACATTTCATAAAATTTATGATTGGTTTTAGAGTCATCTACTCTTTAAGTCATTTTTTGGCTCATCTAATATCTTAGTTGTAACTTTACATACATTGTGAGTTTTCTTATTTGTACTTAATCTTTCTAAACATATTTGTAAAAATGTAAATGTTGGATCACTTGCTGATAGGTACCGATATCTCTATTAGAAAAGATTCATTCAAATTATTAGACTAACACAAGAAATGCAACTGGTCTTCCCATCTCCAATTCCTTGCGAGACTACTACACCCCACCTCTAAGTGTCTACACTACCTTCTATCTACTACACTTGAGAGCCCTTCAAATGTTTCTAGGTCTTAGCAGTTGCACAAATCCTACTCCAAAAGACTTAATATAATTGTCCCTATCACAATTCAAATAACATTTAAATGTGTAAAATGATCAACTTAAAAGGAAAAATGACTCCGACCCTTTCATTCAATGTGAGTTCTCACCTATTTCAACCATCAGTACAACTGTATTCAGAAAGATGAGGAAGATGATAAAGTTTCTGAAGAGAGGACCTGTTTTCTCTTAAGAAAACATAGAGTGGAGTTCTTTTTGGTTTAGGCAGGTGACATAATTAGGTCAAGAACAGAACCAGTGAGAATGAGAAGAAAATGGAGTTTGGGAAGGGAAAAATAAGTCAATAGGCAGATGATGAGGCAAGAGAGACCGTAAAGCCATGGCATAAAAATGAGTGGCATGAAAGGATACACTCAAGGACCCATCCAGCCCACAAGGAAAGCGGTGGACTCTCGCTGTAGCGCACTCGAAGGGTGCTCATCAGTCTCTGGGCATGTGTAATCCGTTCTACATGACGAGGCTTTATGGAGAAGCGCACAAGCTGGTGTTGATCTCCCAACATAAGTTTCTTCTGACAGGAAGGATCTACACCAAAAATTTAAAAAAGGGACAGTGGATAAATATAAAAAGAAGTCTTTGGGAGTATCAGGAGCAGGTAGGATTGGGGGCAGGAACACTGGTTACATAATGGGCCCCCTAGTGCAGGGGCTTACCTTGCTGCTCCTTCACACAGCGACTAATACTATTTTGGAGTACGAGCTCACCTATTGCTTATGACCAACACTGTCCATGCCCAGAATAAAGGCTGCAGGTTCAACCCTCAAAGTTTTAAGTGTCTTTGGTAGAAACTTCCAAGTCAGCCAGGGCTAATAGTTACCCTAGGCCTAAAAGTGAGTGACATGGGTTCCATCTCCTGGATCCAGAGTTTTATTTATAAAGCCTTTGATTTATCAAGTTTGGTGTAACTTCCAAACTAGCAACCAAACCAATCTCCCCTGAATTTTCCACCCTTAAAATTGCCTCCCTGCTTCCTACTCTTTGGAGGGCGTGGATGGGAGTCTTAAATTCATCCTAGTGAAGAAACAGGCTGCTGACCAAGTATCTCTCGAATAGTGTGCCGTGGCACAGCTTGGCTCAAGCCGTGCAGATGCTCAAGGAGAGAGAAAGTATCAATGAGTCGGGAACGAATGGCATCAGCCCGGGGCAGTTGCATGTGTCCTACTGGGTGATAAGTGGCCATGTCTGTTAAGAAAATAAAAGAATCGAGTGTCATTTCATTTTTGAAGTTGCACCAAGCCTTAGAGGTTCTCTTCCCTTCCTCCCAACCTCTTTGCCCTTAAGAAGACAAACACATTGTACCCAGACTCAAGGCTTTTTGAAACAAATGAGACAGGAGTCATTACAGAGAATCTGCGTAGTTGACTAAGTGGACAGACACCTTCACCTGTGTGACAGCATTTCTAGTTAAAAGCAGCAGCCACAAAGAGCAGGAGTCCCGGGGTTGGACAAAGAGGAATTCAGGCACCACCTGGACCTGAGGGCATCAGGTAATGCAATGAGGTGGGTCAGTGGGAGGGCTTAGGACTGCCGCCAAAAGAAAGACCGAGTTAAGAGGAACTGGACAAAATGCAACAGCCTGACATTTTGAAAATGTGTCCCGTCCCAAGTGTGTCCACTCCAACGCGCTCCCTCGGGTGCCAGCTCCCTCTCTCAATTCCCACTTCTGGGCCTCACCTTTGCCCAGGCTCTCTTCCGCCTACTCAGCACTGACTTCACTCCTCCGCCTCCGGCTCTGACGCCCCCTGAGCTTGGCTCTCCCCACGCGGGGCGAGCTCAGGGTCGGCTCCCAGCGCCGCAAGTCCTGCTCCGCCAGCCCGCCCGCTCCCGGGTTCCGGATCGCCCCGGGCCCACCCCCAGCACCAGGTCCAGGCGCCAGCACCGTCCCGGCCTCACTCGCCCCGGCGCCCGTCGCCTCCGCCCAGGCCCGCTCTCCGGCCACTCGGCCGTTACCAGCTGGTCCCGCCCGCCCGACGCAGGCGCCGCACAGCCAATCG